TAATTAAGACACAATAACACGCCGAATAAATACTAATTCAGAAGTCAAACAACAAAAATCAGCGTTATATTTAAAAAATTTTCACAGGACTAGTTTCGATGGTTTTACCGAACCATCATCTTCAGCTGCAAAACCGCAAATGAACAAGATAGGAAATAATGTTTAGATTAGATAAGAAAGCCTGGACAAGAATAAGCAAGTGGCGCCATCTGTTGGCGAAACCAGAACTAAAACATAAATTCTCTAAAAGCCGAAGGCAAATTTGGATTGGAATGAGGATCGTTAACTAGAACAGAAAGATTTTTATGAATGTGAAATGCCTCTAGAAAATCCAGTTCTCCAATGGAAGATGTTTTTTGAATAATTTTGGCAGCAGAAAAATTGAAAGTGTGATTTTCGGACCAACAATGCTGAGCAACAGAAGACTTCTGTGTTTCCTTTTTTCTAACATATGCCTCATGTTCTTTGACGCGAAATTTTAAGGCTCTCTTAGTTTGGCCAATGTAAATTAAACCACACTGGCAAGGAATCCTATAAATACCCCCAGGAATCATATCCGGAATGGGGTCCTTGAGTATAGAAGTTGGAATTTTATTGATGGGAGAGTAAACAACCCGAAAGTTAAATTTCTGCAAAAATGTGTGCAACTTTATAGCTAATTGATGGAAAGAAGGGAATGACAACAGAACTTTTTATAATCTCCTAAAATAAGAGTGTGGCTTTTAGTGTGTTGAGATGAGAATTTTTTAACTGCTTGATTAATAATGTTGGGTGAAAAGCCCCTGTCAATAGCTATTGCTTTTAAATAATTTAGTTCTTCATCAAGGGCTAGTTTGGAGGAGCAAACTTGAAGAGCACGGAAAACATAGGAATAAAATGAAGCTAACTTTTGTTTAGTCGGATGACATGATTTAAAGTGTGGTGGAAGGCAAACCGATGAAGGTTTACGGTAAACTGTAGTACTGAAGTTGGATATGTTACGTGTGACCAGAATGTCGAGAAACGGAAGAGAATTGCAAGTCTCAAGTTCAAAAGTGAACTGAATAGCAGGATCAATAGAATTCATTGTTGAAAGAACTTTATTCAAATCATCTTTATTACCTTCAAACAGGGTAAAGTATCGTCTACGTAGCGGAACCATGCCGGGAATTTTAAAGTTTCAAACAATTTTGATTCATAATAATGCATGTAGATATCAGCCAGGATGGGACTGAGGGGGCTTCCCATGTCTAATCCCTCAGTTTGCTTGTAATATTTATTTTGGAAAACAAAATGTGTTTGTTTCAAACAGAGTTGAGTGAGAGAATTCGCTCATTCTTCCTACTGTCTCTATTACTTCTTAAGCCCCCCCCAAATCATCCATAAATAATGAGAGAAGGTGAATGTACAGCTCACTCAGCTAAATCGTAGACTGAATGTCAGTTTATGTTTGTTTTACTGTGATGAGTCGTTTCTGTTATTAGGCTCGTAACAGAAACGACTGTTAGAAAGGAAAGGTTCGGTGCGAGTGTTTATTTTCGTTAGAAGGACGAAAACAATCTCCACGTAGCCGAATTTATTATTATTATTATTTTTTATTTATTTAGGGGTTTCGTTGAACTAAATGCAGTGAGTAAGGGAAAGTTTCATGAATATTTTAAAAATTTTCGCAACCCGGTGCTGAAAAGCTAAAAGAAAAAATACGTGAGGAATATGGAAAAAATATGGTGTTATTAGAAAAATAAATTAAAATGAAACGAATTAAAATGCATCATTGTATGAGTGTTCTCAGATAATTTTGTAGGGAAAGTTACAGATTAACAAAACAAAACCAAATATATATATATATATGTAATGTTTTCAGTTATTCCAACACATCGTGGGCGAATGGTGAGGCTATTCCATTACACGTTCTGGCAGATGGTTAACGAAGCTGGGGTGATTGAAACACGGAGAAAAATGACGACTCAGGACTTTTCACTTTTAACAGCAAGCATATCTTTATTTTAATTTATAGCAGATGACTTTGTCCAGATGAAGTTAATCAAATAACTTATTCAGTAATTGAACTATTAGATAAGACTGACTTTAATACATCATAACGTTCTAACAAAGAAAGAGGAGCATAGCGGAAGCGTTAGCAGGACGAAGGCGAGAAGGCATCTGTCTAGGAGAACTTATGACTCAGCATTTATATGAATGGTTATGTAACAGAGTAGCTTCTGGAAAAATGTAGAAAACTTATGACGCAGCATTTATATGAGGAGGTTATGTAATAGGCGTGAATGTTCTAGCAGGTACTGGGTTAGGGGACGATCCTGAATTGCAGAAAAGTAATTAAAGGTTGCTGTTTCGCAAAGAGCAAAGCCATCGTATTTTTTTTTTTTTATTTTTTATTTTACACACACACACATATATATATATATATATAATTATTTAGTTTTATGAGTTTAAGAAGTAGATCCTAGAATACAATATTACATGAATTCAAACACACATATATCATGCATACATTATACATACAAGAATATAAAAAAATATAAAAACGCACTTTTTATTCGATTTCCGAGAGTGAGAGGAAAATGCTTTATTCGCCCCTTCCTCACCGTCGTCCATGTTTATTTGACTCGCGAGTAGAATGAAATCGTTTAATTCTGTTTTCTATATCTTACATAAAGTTAACGTGTTAGAGAAGATTTCTAGGATACAAAAGATTTATCGTTGTATTTTTGCTAGGTTTAAAGGATTAATCAATTTTCTGATAGTTATCAAGTTTATCACGTGCTTGTAATTCCTTATCTGATAATGAATCAAACAATTTTTACTTCAAATACTTACTTTGTTAGAACTTTTCTTCCGATATATGTTAGAATGAAATGGTTATTAGAAAAATATTGCTTAACTGTAACAGTAATCGTCTATATTAGCTTCATCATTTAAGCCTTAACTATTATTACAGTTACAAAGAGGTTAAATGGCACACATTTCTATGTGTAATGACATGCTATTATTCGCAGAAAACTTAAGATAATGCAATAATTTTATTGCTAATAAATGTAAATGATAATACAGCTTTAATAAATAAGAAAGAATTCTGACATAGATTGACACCAGTTTTAAAAAATTGTTATTGTGTGCAGGGCAGACGTTACACATTTTGCAGTCCAATACAGTCTCTGCGGGTCCTAATTTCTACTGTCCGATGCCTAACTAAATTTCAAAAATTTTGCTAACGTGTAATTCCGCTGTCCGGTACTTCCCCTGGATTCTGAAAAATTTGTCATTCCTAAATTTTGCTGCTCGGTGCTTCTCCAAATTTTCAAACTTTAGCTACCCCTATATTCTGTTCTACCCCGGCGCGGCTACACCGGTTGCAGGCCCTGTTTGTGTGAAACCACTATTTCAGTTTTGGAAAGAGCAGTGGTTATTTGGAGAATATAATTTTAGAAAATCAAATTTATCTAAACTTCGACTTTAATCTAATTCTGACCTGTCAGGGTTGTTATCCAGCATATTTAAAAAGAACTGGTCTACAAGATTATGACTTTTGCCGCTGTGCAGTACCCTTAGTCATGCACGACACTTCATCGAGGTGTCTGCTTTGACCCAAGGAGTCTATGTAACGGAAAATTTTATTAAATTTGAAAATAGCAGAAAAAATTTAATCGGAAATAACAGATCCTTTGAGATTGGTGGTATATTTATTTATCAAGTGTTCCGTCATCTGGCACTACACGAAAAGGGAGGGATGCCTCGTGGAGGACTTTTTAAGAGAAACTGGCTCGTATCTATGTTAAACTTGAGAAAAGCCACAAAAAATGACCATGCCAGCCAAGCACGGTCGTCGGGACTCGAACCAGTGTTTAGTGGCTTTCACCCCTCGGACGTTGGAATGTTTGAGACTGGCGCTTGCTTGTACTTTGTGTTCTGTTTCCTTCATTTATGAGTTTTTTTTTTTTTTTTTCCCCTTGGGCCATTTTTTTTTGTTTGTTTTGTTTTTGTTTTTGTCATAGACCGTCCTTATTGCCTGTTAAGTGGGTCGAGCTGTGCCCGATTTATTATTATTATTCTCAAGCATTTATTTTACATTACCTTACGCAGAAAACGACCGTATATCCATTATTTATATGTGAAGTTATGTTGCATTAACGAATAGTTGGATGTCAGCTGGTTGCGTGTAGTTTATGTTAATGGGGCTACATTGTTTTTTATGTTTATATACATTCATATTGGTCGCAGCATTTAATATAGTGAATGCAAATGCACTTCTTTAAAAAAACTCTTTTCTTAAACCTAGTGATGGAACTGCAATCATTGAACTATATTTTTCCATGTTTGCATGATTTTGTACGAACAAAGTTCCACTAAAATGAGTAAAAAAAAAAAAAAAAAAATAAAAAAAAGCGTAAATACAGTATTATTAACCTAAAATCATTTTTCTAATGTTCTCATTTTAAAAAAACATTATTGTTTCATTCATTTTTTGGTCATATATAACATGACAATTTTTCTGGAGTCTGAAGACTGAGATTGACCCATGAATTTTATAAACGAATTTATTATCTCTTAAAATATTGTTTTTCCTTTTAGTACCAATGTATGCAGCAAGAAAGCTAAAAATATCGAAATAAATTAATCTAAACCTTAAATTTACGTATATTGGAAAGAAAAACAAGTGATCTGGATTAACTGCAGTTCTACCGAATTTTTATCTAGCAAGAGTCGAAAAACGCATTAGAAAAATATTTGAGCTTTTTCTGCGCAATAATTCCCATGAAATTGCTTTGCCTTTTCACATTTAAAACAATACAGAGGAGTGCATGAAGTAACATTTGCTGCAATGTGTATTCGAGATTATCTTTTGACGTACGTTGAATGATTTGGCCTGATTAAACGATATGGCCGCACTTTCACGCTTCAATTCCTTGTCTGTATCATAGATGGCGCTTTATGTCTGTATTACGCAATATTTGCGCACGTTAAACAGACAGGAAACCTTCCTTCCTTTAGATTGAACCTTTAGATTCCTTCCTTTAGATTGTCACTTCCTTTAGATTGAACCTGTTTAAGTGTTCGGCGTCTGTTAGAGACAACATTTTCTGAAATATTTAGTAGAAACATGAGTTCTTTGGACCAGTTAAAAAAACTTACGGTCGTTGTGGCCGACACTGGCGAATTTGATGGTAAGTTACCAAAACACCTTTTATTAGTTAACAGCAATGCTATTTTTAGTATTACGTATTTGCAGCCAAATTATAACTCCCAAAGCCTTCGCAAATTCTATGTTTACTTCCTTTTTCTAATATTAAATTATTAGTTGTTTATATGTTGTTTCTTACTTAACTTCGCATGAAGCATTTGGTATTATCGGGTTTTAGCAGCATTATAATGTTGCATCATTTTTGTGAAGATTATATTTTAAGATCGCGAAATTATTTTTCATGTTGCAGCAATGAAGCAGTATAAACCAACAGATGCCACAACAAATCCCTCATTGATTTTAGCAGCTTCAAAACTAAACCATTATCAGCATTTAATTGAAAAAGCTGTTAACTATGGCAAGTCTCATGGAAAGTTTGTATCTTTATTGCATCTAGAACTGGAATGTTTAAAATTTCTTTATGTAATTATTATGATTATATGCAGTATGAAAATGATTAATTTTTTTGTGTATCATTACTCTTATCTTTTATCTTATATATATATATTTATGTCATCTATTGATTTGCTAACATTTGAAAATAAAATTACTGTTTTTCGTATTACTTATTAATTTTTGTTCATTAATTAAGTTTTTATATTGGTTTCCCAGTTTATAATCAATTTAGGTGAGGCAAGAGTTATGTATTCAAATGTGAACCAGTTCATGTAATGTTAACATGCATTTAAAGCATATTTATTTAATGATGACTAATTTCCCCCTTTTGATATCATTGCGTAATCCATCTAAGAATTTTAACAATTTTAATACATGCTGTAATGAATTTTTAATAATAAATTTTATGCTTTTAAATACTTTGGTTTTCATATGAGATTGAATAGAATATCTATGAGAATTACATTGTTCTTTAAAAATTAATTATAGATTATATTGATTCCCTCCCATTTGATTATGATTGAATCCATGTAGAATATACCCATCTTTTGGTTAACTTGATTGTGTTGCATACAACTTGATAACTGATTGCTTGATGTATTATTTCTATTTGTGTAAATGTATATTAGATGAATGTGATTTAATTCATATTCATGATTTTTTGGACTAAAATTATAGACCGATTGAAAGCTGATTAAGATTCAGATGAATGGTTTCAAGAGCTGTGTAAGTTGTGGAGTATCTTTGTTAGATATATAAAGATTAAATATTAACTATAAAATGTATTCGGGCACTTCAGCAAATTTAATGTTTCTTCATAAAAAGACTAATTATTAGATTACACAAAAATTTTAACTCTTTTTTTTTTTTTTTTTTTTGTCTTTTTGTAAATGTATTTTGTGGGCACATATGATATCAATTTGTATCTTTTCATGATGTTATATAAATATTTGTGGAAATTTTGGATTATTCATTATAATTCCCTATTATCCTTTTTGAATCCCTCTGGGATTACATTTTATGAATTTAGGTGAAATTTGAATAATTTACTTACTACTTTGCCGCATTAAGTATTTTCTTGGTAATACATTTTGGCTTATGTAACTCTTATTATTAAATAATAAAATAATTTTTATTGTTAAGAATTATTTAAAAATTTTTAGATATGTTTGTTCCTAATTAGTTTTCTTTCATGTTCCAGAACTCATGAGGAGCAATTGAATTCTGCAATGGATAAACTTTTTGTTCTTTTTGGTTGTGAAATATTGAAAATAATTCCTGGACGTGTTTCTACTGAAGTAGATGCTAGGTAACATTTTCAAATTTCTGATATATTTGTCTTCTAGTGTATAAATACACTTTAATAATGTAACACATTTTGGTATATATGTTCATTATTTGATTATATTATCAATATGAGTTTTCTTTACAGTTATTAAAAGATATCATTGATAACATTTTTATTACTTTAATATGTTCTAGAAATTGGTGCATAATTTAAACTTCTTTTAAGTAAAGATTACAAAGTTTTAAGATTACATTTTACAAAGTTGTTATAAATATTCATATGGCAAGAAGAATATAATTTTGTGAAAAGCAAGTATGTTATTAAATTGAAAGAAAGGTGTTGGATAAAATTCTTTTATAAGACATTTTCCATTCTTTTAAGTATGGCATGTGGAAGAAATATTCAAAAGTTCAATAAATCTGTGTTCTTTAGAATTAGATTTGAAGAATAAACCATTGTCAGAAGGAAAAAAAGTTTTGAAGCATTTAAAATTTAACTGCAAGTAATATATTTTCTGAACTCTGAAAGTTAACTGAAAATAATTTATTTTCTGATTCATTTAAAATTTTCATTTTAAAATTCTTTATGCATTCATAGAACTCTAAAAGTTTACTAATTTTTCTATGAAAAAGAAATGTTGAATTATTTCGTAGTTTTATTTAAAGAAGTTCACCAGTTAATTGATGACCTAAATTCAATTCAAGATTTTTAGTTTTGGAAAAAGCATTTTCCAAAATTTTCCAAAGTCTGTGTTTTTTTGACATTTCATCAATGCAATTTTGAAGGGAAAGCATGCTTCTCCTTTTTTTTTTTTTTCTTTTCCTCCAAACCCATTGGTGATCTTCAAGAACATTTCACGAATTCACTGGCAACTGATTTTTCATCGTACCAATGTGATAAAGGCAATAGCCAGTTTGAAAATGACAGTGAACTGAGTAATCTGAACAAGAGCAATCAATCATTAAAATTAGAAAAGGAAGAAACATTGATGATAAAACATCTGTTTTAAGAAATCCTTTTTTTAACACTGTTGTTCTTCCCATGTACGTCATGTGGTTTGCTTGCAAAAAACATCAGGAAATTGCACAAACTCAACATCCATACCACTTTGTCATGACATATTGCCCCAAATAAGCATCTACTGCTTGCATACTTTGTCACATAAATATTTTTAAGTGACATCAGTGGTTGCTGCTTAACTATTTTGGTGACATACTGCTTTGTTTCTTGAGTACTTTCGGTGGGTTATGGGAATGATAAGAAAGTACTCTTATTTAATAGCAAAGGCAAAATTTTACATGTAAAACTTGGATTTCTCTGCTGCAGTTTGTTTTAGATGAATTTTATCTTACAGAATTAAGATTCTTTTTAATATGTTTTCTAATTTTATTCTGTCATGAAAATATTTATCAGAACTGCTTATATGTTAAAATAATCTATATACTTGAATTAATTTATGATAAATTAAAAAAAAATATATAATATATATATATTTAGGCTTAAACTAGAAGTTTGCATCTGGCAATCCTGAGATCATAAGAGTAGGTGCAAACATTTTCCAGAATCGGGGTATTTTCACGTATTTGATTGTTTCTTTTGATTTTTAGTGTTTGCCAGTAAGCAATGCAACTATAGAAAGGGTATTTTCAAGTGTCATTTAACCAAAACCAAAAATCAAAGTAGAATGTGTTTGGAACTCCTAGATTCCATGCTGAAAATAAAGTTGTCATTGGAAGAAAAAATCTGCTGTGTTTACTTTGTACTCTCTTTGCACATGCATACATATAGTTCAGATATTTCTGAAAAGAAAGAAATGAGGATAACAGACCAAGAAAATGAACAGTATGATGAAGAGCTATTAAAATCAATTTTCTTTTAAGTAACTAAAATAAAAAATAATTTCATTTTTACATGATTTCCCCTCCCCCTGAGCATTAAAATTAATCAAGTATGTTATGATATGTTCTGTAGTACATTTTAATACAAGTACTAGTCGATTTATTTTAAGATGAAGAAACACTTTGATAAAAGTATATTTTAGGGTAGCCCTTGGCGAAACCTGGCGATTTTTGGTGGTACATGGATACCGAGTTTGTGCAATTCTTTGACTTGTTATTTTGGCCTCTGTAGCGCGATTTTGGAGCAAAAATTGTAGTATTGGCATGCGTGTGCGCATACTACATTTACGCATATGCGTTTAATGTATAACGGACGGTATAAGCTAAGCTAAAATTATCTAATTATCATTTCAGTTAATGTTGCAGATTGCATTGTTCCTTAATCTTCGAATTGGATCCAGCTTATTATTTTTTGCAGCCTGTTAGAGCAATTTTATAAAAGTAAGCTTGAACTTTCGATTATGTCAAAAAGAATTTCCAATTGCTGGAGCTCTACAAAGCGAAAGGCGTGTTTTGATGTCCATCAAACAAAAAGTGGAATTGCTGCAAAAAATGGATAAAGGCATATCCTTTGTTTCTCTAACCATTCCGAAATCTGTTTATCAATTTCACGTGGCTCTGAGGGGGGGGAACGTCGCGGTGCGCAATGAACTGGAAGTTGATCTGTCAGCACACTATCCTTATCTTCAGGGCAGATGTTTTTATTTTATTCAGCTTATAATTCCTTACTAAATGTATTTCATCTCGATGTACTCCGTCTTTGATATGATTTAAATGAAATTCATTATAAATATCACGAATACACATTTAATAGTTTTCTGGTTGCAATTTTCTAATGTCGACTATGTGTAATGTATGCTTTATGCATGTGCGCATTGAAAGAAATGTTTAATAAAGTAAACAAATACATATTAAACTTTTTTTTTGTAAATTTTGATACCCTTTAGATCATAATTGCTCTTTATTTCATAAATTGCGGTTTCATATTTTTAATTTTATAATTTCTGCATGCCATCTTACCAGATTTAAACTGATGATCTATAATCTGGAATCGCCAAAGTCCCAACGAGTCCGGATTAAAGACTTTCGACTGTACTAATATTAATAATTTATATAATTTTTTTTAAGTAGTTTCCCCCATGTATAGTGAAAGAAGCGATTGTATCTGAGCATATATTATCGGGTACTCAGAATGAAATGAAATTCATTCAGAAAGCAGAAGAGAAATGAAATTCATTCTCTTGATTATATTATTGCTAAGAACTAAGCACTAGAAATGACTAAAAAATAAAAGCAAAATCAGTTTTCTAAATAACAACACAAAGAAATTTAACAATGAAAGAAACAGGAATTTTGTTAGTAATCAGAATTTGATGAAGTGTAAATAAATCAATAAAGCAGAACAAAAAATTGACTGAAAAGCATTAACAGTAAAAATGAAGCAAAAACTAATAAATTAGGAAAATGAACTAAAAAAATTTAGCACAAAAGCACTAACAATCGGAAGCAGTTAATAGAGATGAACAAATTAATTTTAAAAATAAAAACATAAATTGATTGAGAATTAATTTTAAAGCAATGATAATTAGCAATAGGGTTTTAAAATTTTTTGTGAAGACTAAGATACTTAATCAAAACGACTAAGAACTGACTTCAGGAACCAATACAGACTGAATTTGTGATGATGTCAGAGGTGTGAATGTATGCAACTATAACGCCAACAAAATCACATCTCTGACGGCATGTGCTACTTTTTTTTTTTTTGTTCTTTTCCCATTACTTTGGTTGAAAAATTTGTGATTCATGATTAGAAACTTGCAAGGAAAATTGAATATACTTTTTTTTTTGCTTGAATATCTTTCTTGTTTTAATTCTGATGGACTTTGCTTTTATATTTTAAAATTCAGTCATTTTTTATTACTCGTATGTTTTGTTTTATTCCAGTAACCTAAGCTAACCATTAGCTTTCGAAGTATAAAGAGTTTAAAATATTTTTAATATTCATGTTTTTATTATTTAATGTTAAATTGTGAAATTTTTTCTTCAGGAATAAATTTGTTGTAAATGTGTGAAGCTTATGCTGATTACCTTTAATACATTTTTACAGCTGTCAGTTGGTACAAGCATACTTTGCTAATCATGTTGCAAATTCTAAACTATCTCCTTTGGAAATGTCTGATTATTGAGATCAGTGTTAATTAAGAACCAAACTGTATTTTTCTCACATGTGCTGATCTAAATGTAATTGATATGAATGCTATAATCATTGCTGATCTAAATGTAATTGATATGAATTATGTAATATTCGCCTTAGATTTGTTTTATGTATATTTTATAATAACTGATAATGAAGTGTATTATGCACATGAAGTAAGAAATTAGCATAATATACCATGATCATTTTAGTTATTAAATTATAATTTTTTATACAAGGGTCACTCTGAAATTTTTGATACACAGGTTTTTCGAGTTATACTTAAATTTTAGGTGTGTTTAAAGTAGGCTTCTCTAGCATTAATGCATTTCTGTAGGTGGATTTTCCAAAGATTAAATGCCTCAAGCATTTGATTTATTGTAATTGATTAAAAAGTGCATGTATAGCCTCATCAATCTCATGTTCAGAATGGAAACGATGTCCATGTAATTAAAAAATAGCCAAAAGTCACACACTTAGATCAGGTGAATAGAGGGGATCTTCTATCACTTTAACGTGTTTTTATTCAAGAAACTCAGCTGTCAATCTTGCTGAATGAGAAGATGTGTTCTCATGGTGGAGGATTAGTCATCTAACATTCACTTCTTGAAGAGCTTCTGGAATATCCTCAGTAGTGTACCAATCAGCTGTGACCATCTTCTATCCTTCTAGCTTGATGGCTTTGGCCAATCCTGTACTTTTGAAGAAAACGACATACAGTACTTTTTTATTGGCACATTGTCTTTTTACCATTTTGGTTGTGGGATCATCTAGACCTGTACTTTACTTCCTTGATGTGTTGGAATGTCAGAAATCTTTTTGATGCCCATATGCGAGTTGGAAATCCAATGGCAAACTAGTTTTTTCAATTCTTCATGAATAATTTTATGCAAGGTTAATTAAATGTTAAATTCCTTCTGCATCATTTGGAAAGTGAAGCAATTATTATTGATTAGCATTTTCTGTATGGCAAACACATTATCCGGGATTACTGTTGGCAATGACTTTCCTGTGTGTTCTTCATCCTGATGAGAGTTGGGACCTCTGTGAAATTTTGTAAATCATGTTAATACAGTAGCATTAGATGGATCTTCATTGCCAAAAGCTAACTGCAGACGTTAAATGTATTCTTCTTAACTTAATCATACAGTCTACAAAAAACTACTAGCAGTTGGCCAATAAAAAATCATCTGCTGGGCTAAAATAGTTCATATTTTCATATCTAACCGTTAATTTTTTCTGTCGCTTATCGTGTGTGCATATCTAAAAAATTTCAGGGTGACCTATGTATTAAGCTTAGTTAGACCACATAAATATTGCATTCATTGAGTGAAATGTTATCAGTCTGTTTTTTTGCTTAAAAAAACTATTCGAAATTTTTATAATCTAGGCTGTCTTTCGATAAAGAGGGTTCAATACAAAAAGCTCGTAGAATAATTGAATTGTATGAAGAAGAAGGCATAAACAAAGATCGTATACTTATCAAATTAGCCTCCACATGGGAAGGTATTCAAGCTGCAAAGTAAGATGATAGTCATTGAAGTTTTTAAATGTTATTTAGTATAATTATCTTTTCGTTTGTATTAGAGTATTAAGTTTTATTACATTATGCATTATTCTGATAAAAATGTACAGGACTGAAACTTTTTTTTCTTTTGCATTTAGTTTTCTATCTGGCAATCTCATTACAATTTATTGAATTCTAATTTTGAATCTTCTGTACTGAACCCAGCGGAAGGTGTGTTGGTATCACATACCCAAACATATATTTTGTGTCTAAAATACCTTAAATATAAATGTATTGATTGTTTGTGTCAAATAACATGCATTATGAAAAGTAAGTAATGCAAATGAAATTTAAGTAAAACAAGTTTTACTTACTAGTGAAATTTTTGGACATTTTTACAAATTGAAGTTGTGCTTCACATGTGTATCTGTTACATGAAGCACAATGGTAGTTAGATTTTCAGTCCTTTTTGCTGAGACAGTTTGAACACCATTTATAGGATTTAGTTACCTTCATGGGTAGCTCATCAGAATCAGTAGTCATGCCAATTTCATCAGTGGCCCATAAATGTTTTGCATTAATATGAGATGGCTTGTATAAGAAACCTATTAGCTCTTTAATTTCACTACTTTTCTAAATATTTTTTACATCTCACTCCCAATTGAATGCCTCTTGAATTGAATCAGTATATATATATATGTGTGTGTGTGTATTATTTATGAATTAATTGATCATATTATCTTCTATCAAAACACTTCTTTCAAACTATATAAATTTTATCAAATGTTGTTTTTACATGTTTAGAATAATTAGTATTACCAGGAAGCTTAAATATTGGTTTTCTGAAGAAACATTAGCTCAAAATTTCTCTTTTGACTGTTTATTTTTATCTTTTCCGTAATAAAAATTTCTTGACACGTTGGTTGTAAGCATTTTGCTGTGCACTGTCTTAATCACTTTCTGGCAATAATTCTTAAAATTTTCATCAATCATTTCCTCCACTACTATTTTCATCATCTGTAGAAACTGATTCAAGCAAATGTCACAAACCTTCTATTTCATTTTCATTGCAAGAGAACTGAGCCATTTTGAACAAATTATGAGAGAAAATAGCGTGGTTTCAATGTTAACCCATTAACCGCCAAAACTACAAGGAATGTTTCTTTTCTCTTGAAAATAATAACAAATATTAAATTAAGCATTTATAACATAAATTTACATTGAAATAAAAAAAATGCTCTTACCTGTGGAAAAAGCAAGTGTTGTGTCAGCGGGAAAAGACTACGGATGTTTAGTGAGTAGGATTGTACTCATGTGATGTTTCTTTTGAGTGGAGCACAGGATTACCTTTTAGCTGTATAACGTTTTATAAATCTACAAATCACTTTAATTGTAATTAATTTAATATTAAAATATACATTGTATTTCTTTTACAAATACAGATTATTTCATTTGAAAGATTCAAGCATGAAAAGCATGATTACGATCATGTTGTAAAGCTACATTACATACTTTGCATCTACAAACAGTCTAGCTATGGTACTCTTTTACAACAAAGTCTTTTGTTATCAATGGACTTTACGATAAAATGTTGACCATCTCCATGCAATGGTTTTTGAATGCTGAATTTACTAGGTCTTCCTGTTGCTGATCTATTTATGGCTAATTCTAAACTAGGAGGCAATAGGAGTTTGCAAAAGGAATAATGCATTCTCGCGTACGAAATCTAAAAGAGGCTTTATATTTCCAGTAGTAAAAAGTGGTGATATTTAGTAAGTTTAGATACGGTCTCACCTAATATAATTTATCAGTATTGTCAATTTAACTGTTGTCAAATGCAAATTCTGCTTCATATTCCTGTACTGCAAACGTGATATTGATTCTTGTACAACAGGAACAGAAATATCCTTATCAAAAGACCAATACATTTTTTCTTGAGGTAAAGAATGATATCATGTAAGCAATAATATTCTAATAAACCTTCTCATACATGCTTGAGATGCAATAAATTCTGGGATTTTTTTTTTTTTTTTTGGCTGAGCGTATATATTTGTCTGTTCAACGAAAAGAGAGTAATGTCTAAACCAAAAAGAAAATCGAAAATCTGTGCACTAGTTTTACCTTGTGTTTTGTCTTTTATAATTTCTGTTCTATCTCTTTCTTCATGTTCTTCCTGAGGCATAACAAACACTTCCTTTTTTATGCACTTCAAGATTTCAGTCTTCTGATTTTTAAACTTTTTAGTATGACTATAACTGCTTTTAGAAGGCTGAAACTTACTTACGTGAATTTCAACTTTCCCAGCAGTATCATTTGGTAAAATATCATTGTCATTCCTTTCTGCTTCGTCACTAGCCTCTGCAATTTTTGGGGAAACAACAGCAATATCAGTTTCATTCTGGTCATTATTAACATTATCATCATCTGTTTCTTCATCAAAAAATCTTTGAAGGGCTTCTTCTAATGTAAGATACCTCGTTCTAGGCATTTTTAAACAACCAGAACGTGAACCAGAACATCGAAAGGAATGAGTGAAAAAGGAGATTCACTACCCGTTTCCTGCTGACGTGGCGTCAACGCAACACCTGTTTTCCCTTTTTACTCAACACAAATATAAACATCTGACTTATGTAATGTTCTGATAAACAGTGACCTTGACTAAAAATAGATCACTCATAAAGACGGCGATTCTTTCGTTAAATATTTTCAGCAAAAATACCAGGTCGAAAATTTTGCTTAAAGTATGAGATTAATTATTATAAACAAAATGATTGTTGAAGGCAAATATCTTTTTACAGAAATAATCTTCATAATATTCCCTACACAAAATTATCTGCTGGTATAAAATATCTTTGGTAGTTATATTTATATACACATTTATTTTGACCGTTGCGTCAACGCAACACCAGCGGCTAATGGGTTAAATGAGTAAGCCCATCGGTATCTCACACCCACAGGGGCCGAATGCCATGAAATGGCCTTATCAGTTTTAACTGCACCTTATTCCACTTGATGAATGTGATCTTCTATTCAGCTACTGAAGGTTTAGTCAATTTTCGAAAAAGGTGGTGGGGAATAGGATCTTTTAAATGTACAGATGGGCATGACATACCCACAGTTCATGCTGCCCGGCTAAGTATCTATTGACATTTACATTCATTATTTTTTATTTTGGGCTACATAAATATGTAAATATAATTGGATAACAATAGAATCAATATAAAGAGCTTTGAAATGTTTACCTTTTGTGAAAGATTTTTTTTAAGGGTGCAAAATTAAAACTTAATTTTTCATAGGAAAGGATCTTATACTTGCAAAGCTTTTTGTCTCAAAAAGTATGGGTTCAGCAGCTTTTGCTTGGCCACTAGTGGACATGTTCTTATTGTTTACTACATTATGTTTTTGAGGTCTTACTCAAAGAAATGTAAAACAATCTGATTAGATTTAATACAAATAAGCCACTATAATTGCTCTTTTCTAACTTTCTCTTTTTGTTTTTTTTATTGGGATTTTCTGTAACATGTCATTTTTTAAATGAATATTGTTCTTTAATAAGTATGTTACATGTATTTTATTTATTTAGTTATATGTACCTTAATATGTATTATAAAATCATTTTCCAAATATCTAATTTGTTTTGCATTTTTGTTTTAATTGCATTTTTCTTTAATGTAATCATAGTAGATAGACCAGTTTAATATATTTAAAACATGATGTATTATTTTTTTTCAACATTTTATCACTTAGTATCAAAACAAGAAATAACTGTCCACCCCATAAGGTACACATTTTTTACTCCAAAATGGGCTTTAATGTGAGCCTGTGTTGTATGGGCTGAGGGTAGAACTTTGTCCTAAAGATGCGAGCTGATTCATCAGTTCATAGAAAAAAATACTCTTATTTTTTTTTTTTTTCTATATGAGGCACAGCAAATGGTTTTTTTTATTACAAATATCGATAATAATACTGTTTTGAGCCAGTAGAAAGCAATATAATTTTAATATTTCCTTGATAGTACTTCTTAAAAAAATTCCATACTAAATCATATTTGTACACTTTGTAGTGTATGTAGTTTATTTTCATCTCCCATATTAGACCATTAATGCTAAAATGGCGTTAATGCTGAAAGTACCATACAAAATAACTTTCTTAGCACTTGGGGGAATGAAAAACTGTTTTCAGTTGGCATAATTTTTATGAAATGCATAAAATTATAAAAAGTACTGGTTTAGTAATGCAAATTAATAAAAATAAATATCACTGCTTTATACTCGAAATCATGCCACACCAATAACAAGATTAAGGATCAAGGAAGAAATCAGTTAAATAGTACTTAGGTGCTAGGCCTTTACCTCCACATCATCTGTGAATTTATTATTTACATCAAAAGAGGGGTTCATCAAATAAAGTAAAAAAATTTGAAAGTCAAATTAAATTGTTTAAAAAAGAACTGAGAAGGTAAAACATGGGGTATTTCTTTGGGTGAACAAAGTAGCAGTATACTTAGCAACATTAATTTTGATTTCATACAGTCCGAGCCAGAGTTCAAGAGCTGAAAGGTACTCTGTAATGTAGAGATTATCGTTATGGTGTTGGAATTTTGAGAGATAATGGCTGTATCATCTACACATAAAGCTAGATCGATACTTTGTGCTTTAGGAATATCATGTATGTAAATGCTGAACATTAAAAGCCCAAGTAAACTGCCCTGGGGGTATGGCAGCATAGATTGGGTAGGGAAAGGAGAATTCATGGTTAACTCACATATGGACAAGTTAATGAGATGGGCCAAAAAACCATGTTGCATGAACTTGTAGATAAGTCTGTCATGCCAAGTCTTGTCAAAGGCTTTGGCTATATCAAGATAGACAATTCCCATTAACAAGAGGTATTACAAACCACAGCAGCCGATCACATGAGCGGTAGAGAAGCAATTTTGCTTTCAAAGCCATCTAACATTTTCCACTTTTTTGCACTTCCAACTAACATCTGAAAGTAGTAGTATTCTTTCTTTGTAATTACCTTTTAAAATGCAAGCAACAATTCATGAGAACTGCCTTGTTTACACACTCCAAATTAATTTTTTTATTTCATGTTTGGTGCTTCAAAATAAAAGGGTTTCTGTTTGGCCAGTTCCTACTTACTCAAAATAAAAGCATCTCGGTGATTGGTTCATTAGAATCAGAATATCTCTTGTGATAAACTTGGGATATACAGGCAGCCAAACTGAAGTAAAATGAGAGTGTCATTCATTGCATAATACATCCCTTTCTCTTTAGTGTTCATATCTGCTTTTACGTGGAGAAACAAGTGTTGCATAAAAATTAGAGTACCATAATGGATTTAAAGAGAGAAGACTGTCATACAGTAATTATTTAAACTTGAAGTTGTGAATTAGCTTCAGAGTACAGAAACAGAGCAACTGAAATGTGTATAGCCCATCTGTGTCTGAAAAGATGATACAAGAATGGAGGAAGCAGACAATAGATTTAGTGGATGCAGATAGCAGTAAAAAAACTTCATATGCTCATAAATATCTAAAGCTTGAGGAGTATGTTCAGAACTGGATAATAAACCACAGGAAGAATGCAATTACTGTTTCAACAAAAATGATTTTAATTGAAATGAAAAAATTAGTGTTAGCATGTATTGCTGATTTTTCTGGAATTTCAAGCTGCGAGAGGTTCATGAAGAGAAAAAGTCTCTACCAGAACTGCAACAGCATAAAAACTGCCACTTGAATGCAAAAGAAATATTATAGAATTCCCCAAATGCATCATAAGCTTGCAAAAGAGATGCGTTTTGATATGGAACAAATAGGAAACACGAATGAGATATTTTTGACATTTGACATGTCATCAATTGAACAGTGGATGCTAAGACAGTAATGACAAAGATACTGCTGCTGTTGTGTATTGTGCTGGTAGTTTAAAACTCCTTTGTTAACCATTAAATCAATGCTGCTTAAATGTACAGTTTTACATGGAATTTACATTCATGTTTATCCCAAAGGCTGGATGGATGGAGAGAGTTTGAAGCTGTGGTACAGGAGTCCTGATGGACTTCTGAAGAAATTATCTTTATTAGTGTGTGAGCAGTTTAAGGTCGATATAATTGAATCAGCAAACATCCTTGCTATTGAACTGGATTCACATCTTGCTGCGATTCCTGATGGATTAAAAAATTCAGCTTCTGGATGCTTCAGTCAATAAACTATTCAAGGGATTTGTGCACTAAGATTGAATACAGTGATTGAAGCACCAACTCTTGACATCACACTGATGGAAGAAAGGAATGGCCATCAATTTTTAGCATTTGTAAGTGAGTGAAAATATCCTGGCAGAAAATTAAAAGTGTGACTATCAAAGTCTTAAAAAGTGTGGACTTAACAGTTTGCTGACATTATCCATGAGGAACGTGACAATGGTAACCAAAGTGAATGTAACTACATTTATGATTTGAGCAGCAGTGATCATGAATTTCTGGAATTCTATGATGAATAAATCCTGATGTATTTGCTAATTTTTTAATGTAAGAGTTGTGTTCTCATTATATAAAGTGTTATTTTTAAAATAGGTACTTTGATTTTTTTCTCTCTGATCCAAGTATTTTTTGTAAAATCTAATCTGATAAATCACAGTATGCCTTATGCAGCAGTGTATCTTGTAGACCAAGAAATATGATACATAAATAGTTGTTGTTATTGTAGTGGAATATACACCCAAAAATATTGATTTATGAAAGGCAAAAGTTTTGCTGAAGTGTGCCATTTGCCATTGGTACTCACCATAAAAAGAGAATTTTGATGCAAGTGCAGAAAATGCTAAATCAGTTCAGTAATATAAAGTATGTTCCTTTCTTCAGTCCAAATATGCTATAAATATAGTGTATATAAAAAAAAAAATCATTTTCACATACATATAGGAAAAATTGCCATTAAATTTGGCATGCTGAATTTTCTAAAAATTGAAATTTATTTGTTTATATTCAAAATTAAGCACAGATTATAGGCATCTGTGGGTTATGAAAATTCCATTGCATATATTATGTAGTACGTTGGGTAATTTATGCTACAGTCAAAAGTCGTTAATTCCGGACACCCATAATCCAGAATGATCTATAATCCGGACCTGAAAGGTACAAACTTTTTGCGCATGCGCATAGGCATTTACACATGCACGTAATACTTTTACGTATGCTCATATGCGTGTGCACATAATACATTTATGCATATATATGTTTAATGTATAACGGACGGTATTAGCTAAGCTAAAATTATCCAATTATCTATTTCAGTCAATGTTGCAGATTGCGTTGTTCCTTAATCTTCGAATTGGATCTGGCTTATTATTTTTTGCAAACTGTTAGAGAAATTTTTATAAAAGTAAACTTGAACTTTCAAATTATGTCAAAAGTTTCCAATGCTGGAACTTCCAAAGGATCTACAAACGAAGTATGTTTCGATGTCCAACAAACAAAAGTGGAATTGCTGCAAAAATGGATAAAGATATGAAAATGTGACAGAGAGGTTAGTGAAAACGAAAAAATTTCGATTGACAAGTTAGTTCGGTATTCTCGGCACAGATTACAGATTACGGGACTTGAACAGCGGAACTTGTAACTGAACAAGAAATTATGTCTGTTTATAGAATTAAAGAGAAAGTATTATCACATAAAAACAAAGCAACTTAAACAACTTACATTGAAAGAAATGTTTAATAAAGTAAACAAATAAATATTAAGCTTTTTTTTTTTTTTGTAAATTTTGATACCCTTTAGATCATAATTGTTCTTTATTTCATAAATTACGGTTTCATATTTTTAATTTTAGAATTTCTGCATGCCATCTTACGAGATTTAAAATGATGATCTATAATCCGGAAAAATCGATAATCCGGAATTGCCGAAGTCCCGACGAGTCCGGATTAACGACTTTTGACTGTAGTGCATTTTTTGAATTGTATGGAACATTACAATTTAAGAGAAATCTGGTAATGTTAGAAAGTGAACTGAAGGTTTAATAGAAGTTAGCTGGACTTTCATTTCAATAAAAAAGGGGCAGTTTAAACTTTTGTGTAATATGTTAGTTGTGTACATGTGGTGAGTGATACAGCTCTAAAGAGCTGCTGTTGAATTTAATAAATTTATGACAAATGATATTTTGTTTTTGAAGTTAGCAAGACTCTGAAAAAGTCTTTAACATATGATCATGCAATTTAATTAAATATAAGAAATTTATTCAATATTATAAAAAGGTTTTCTGCTGTACAGACATAATGTTTGGGCTGTTTATGTTTATTATTTTAGTTTTAAGTATTTATTTTTGTATAATATAAATCTTTGGAAGATTTGTTTTTAGTATTTTGTTAATATAAAAGTATTGTTTTAGATGATAGAAAGAAAATGGAAATTGTTAGTTGATAATGCCAGATTTAATTCCATTTATTTTAGCTTAGATTATCCGATATCCAGGTGTAAACATTATTAGCAGAATACTTTTTCTTCCATTAGAAGTTTTGGAATAAACGTATGCTTAATGTCTAGAATTTATGGCTTTAATATCTTATTATATCTGTTATTATTTATTATCTATTAAAATTTATTAAGTGGTAATTTTCTTGCAGATGAACTGTAGAAATATTCCAGAACTGTGCAGCATTTTTAATAATTTTTTCTGTTTCAGAGTTCTTGAAGAAAAATACCAGATTCATTGTAATATGACTTTGCTATTTAATTTTGCACAGGTAATGTTTTGTGCTGTTTTTTTCTTTTAAATTTTATTTTGTAGGTATTTTAATGCATTTGAGGATTTTTTTAATTCAGTGAAGTAAAATATATATTGTTACATTTGTGTTGGTAATGTGATGTAAAATGTATTTCTGAGGTAATATAAATTCCCAAATATTTAGTACTAGTTTTTAGAAATAGCATAATTTCAAATCTGCTGAATTAATATTTTTTATTCCATATAATAGTGCTTTAATTTCAGCTGAAGTTCTGGAATTTGCTATTTTTTTGTTAAAGTAAGTATACTAATAATGTTTTGTAAGATGTATTACACTAATAAATTAACCGATTTAACTTTTATTTATGCATTTGCTTTTATATTTGTATTTATGCTAATAGAAAATACAACCATGAAATAAAAATAGTAGGGTACTTAAGTGCCAGTAGTAGTTACAATGAGAATTTGTTGTTGCTAAATCTGCAAAATGCTTAGACCATGTCCAAAATACTCTAATTTCATATAGACTTTAATGCTAAATATTTAAAATTATTAATATTTTTATTGCCTTTATTGCCTAAAACAGTGTGAAATAAACCTGCTTAAGTAAACATAAGTATGGCAGCTTAGGAAACAAAGGGAAGTTGTCTATCTGGGAAGTCGTGTCTTTCTAGTGTCTCCTAGCAAAGGGGCTTATAACACAAAATTGCAGTCTCCCATGTATTAAACATTTTCAGTTATTGTCCATCACTAAGGCATCATTAAGGCATTTGCAGTAAAACTCTCAAAGGGAAAATTACTGGATCTTTCATTCTTTCCACTTATTGTGATATTATTAATGTGGACATTCATAGCTATTTGTGAGATGGAGTAAAGAAGTTGCCATATTTAACACTTTAATGCAAAGTTGACTGGTGGTGTCCATTAGTTAAAAATTTTGTTAAACCAACGAACTTAACATTTTCTTTATCTTGCAGTGATTTATCTAGTACTTGTTTTTTTACATTCAGAGTTATGTTGGTTATCCGAAAGGGAAATCTTAAACTGGTTTTTGTAGTTAAAAGTTAAGGTTAAATTTTTTTTAAATGAAAATAAACATGATGATGCTTCAGAATTATATAATCATATGTAGTTGCAAATTATGGCCTATTTAGTAGACATTTTTGCTGTTTTTATATTAGTTTTAACATGTATATTTTTAAAATTAATCCAGAATTTTAATAATTGTTTTTAAAATTAGATATTTCATCATATATCAAAGAAACAAATGTACAGTATAAAAAAGTTCAACAATTTTTTAGCAAGAAATTAAATAAATTTGCATAACACTATTAAAAATACATCTAAGAACACATTTCTCAGTTGAAATGAACTATAACAGGTTGTAACTTTTGACAGCCTGGCTGCATGGGTGTTTTTTATGGTTTCCCCTATGTGGAACATGAATACAAGCCATTTGACCTTAGAACGACATTCACAACGTCAATCCTCCTCTAACTGGTAGCACTTTTGAGCTTTACTGTATGCAAATAACTTATCTTATTCAGATATAAGATAAGGAATGAGAATTTATTGGTAGTGGAATGAGATTTCAGAAATGCTTTTTTATGTATCTTGTGAACTTAACTGTTTAAGTATTATATCTGGAAAGTTATATTTATCAGCAAGCTGTTTTAATTGCCTAGAATTTTGTACAAAAACAAAAATGTTCTTTTCATGGCCTAAAAACCTTGTTCTTGGATGTTATGTTTCTTAAATCTGTTTTTAGTTCAGCAGGAACTATATACATGCATAAAAATATTTTTAAGCAGCTCATATATGTAATTTTATATGTGAAAATATAATATGTTGAGTGTAGTGAAGTTTTATTTATAATCATACAAAATTGCTATGCAATGTTTTTTAGTTTCCGATTAGGGTGATTAAAAGTCAATAAGAACATGAAACAGTAACTGTTAACCCTTTGCGGCACAGTGTGTCTGGTCTGGACGCACCTAAAAATTTCCTTCTGTATGCACAGAAAAATTGAATGAAAAAGGATTTATAGGTTACTATACATTACTCTGAACCTTCTTTATTTATAGTAGATGGCAGCTTAACACAAACCAGTCCATATATTTTAGCCATGTTTAGTTTTTTTAAGACCCTCATTTTTCAAAGAAATCTTCCAGATTTTTTTTAGGGTATGAAAGAAATTGTTTGAAGAGAAATTTCTATGTTATTTTTTGGCTGTATGCTAACCTCCTTATTCTGTATTAGTTTTAAATTTTTACCTTGAAATCTTGCCTAAAATCAAACTGCCCAGACCGGGCTCACCGACAATCTAGGACAATTCAGAAGTCAAACAACAAAAATCAGCGTTATACCTACAAAATTTTCACAGGACTAGTTTCGATGGTTTTACCGAACCATCATCTTCAGCTGCAAAACCGCAAATGAATTGGTATTTATTCGGCGTGTTATTGTGTCTTAATCTAGGACAACTGAGAGTCTGTATTTGTTTCTCCGCATCCCATCGGTCAGTTCATTGACAACAATGCTCGTTTCAGCACTCTTTTTCGAAGGTTTATTCAATCAATGTGCCACTTTGGGCACACCCACAGAATTAAAATGATAAGTGCTTTCTTTACAAAATTTTACTTGTGTACTCCTATAGGCCTAATTAGACTGCCTACCCCCTTTTTTAAATCAAAACACGGGCTTTAAAAGGTAACATGCCGAAAGGGTTAATTTATATTAATTTGCAGGTAATATTTAGATTTTTTCAATTATGGATATATTTTGAATGGTATATTTTCATAAAAATGATTTGTACATAGCACTTTTGTTGTGGCTATGTGCACAATTAATAAGTACTGCAAAAGTTTTTAAATTAATGCCATACTTAGATCAGATTATGATAGAAAAAGGGAAAAAATGGCTTTACTAGAATTCTAAAATAATTTTCAATTTCCTCTTAAATTTAACTTTTTTAAAATAAAGTTTACAGAAAGATGTTCATTCTAGGTAAAATTTAAACATGGTGTAATGGAATGTATATTTCATATGATAATATGTGAATTTGATTTGAAAGTTGTTTTTGATTAGATTGATTTGACTGATCTCTTGTTTCTTTAAACACATAATTATGCAGTGTTAAAATTTAATAATGTGCTTAACTATTAATTTATTGTTCTAAATTTGCATTATTTTTTATTGCAGGCTGTGGCATGTGCTGAAGCTGGTGTTACTTTGATTTCTCCATTTGTTGGCCGTATTTTTGATTGGTATGTTACGAATACCGATAAAAAATCTTTTGAACCCAAAGATGATCCTGGTGTGCAGAGTGTCACTAAAATATATAACTATTACAAGAAATTTGGTTATAAAACTGTCGTTATGGGTGCCTCTTTTCGTAATGTAGGTCAAATAAAAGCTTTAGCAGGATGTGATCTACTTACGATAAGGTAAAGAAAATATTCCTTTTTGTAGTTTTATTCATTACAAATATTTATTATATATATAAAAGTTAAATGGTATGGTCATTTGTAATGTATTAAATGAATATTTTCATACTGTCTAAGTATACAGTAGTTTACGATTTTTAATAAAACAATTCATTAGTGTCCCTATATTAATCAGTTGTTTAGCATTTGTAACAAAATATATACAAACAAACAAAATGTATAGGTTATGAATTCAAATAAATTTCATACATTAGTTCTCACTTCTATTCAAAAATTCCTTATTTGTAGTTTCAGTTATGTCTATGCACATTGAATCTTTTAGGTTGACTTTTAATATTAAATATTTCTTTACTATATTTTTATCATATATTCCTCTTTAGTGTTATTTTTGAAAATGTATTTTGATAGTTGATTTAAAACATTGAAATATCAAAATTTTGTATATTTTATTATTGAGATTATAGCAATGTTCTGAAAGCAAAAAGTAGATCCATGACTTGGTCTAAAAATGTATTTTTGATCTGACACTGGATTAGCAAAAATCAATTCATGAGTTAACCTTAGGTGACAGATTTGGTGTTTGGAAGTGTGTTACAATATTTAGCTTGATATGTTATCACCACCACGATTCTTTTCCAGTTCACCAGTGCTGTTATTCTTTGAAATTGATGATACTGACAATGTGCTAGATTTACATGCATACATATTATCTCATCAAATCTTTCATTTTCAGTGTATTAGGGTTTGACTTCTTCAAGCTGCTTAACATAATGCAGCTTTGCACACTACAGCTTACATATTGTCAAACAGTATGTTGATAACTTCTTTGTGATTAAGGTAATCACAATTTTAAAGAAGGAATTTTCCAACTGCCTGAAAGATGGCAAGATGTCATAAAATAAAATGGTGCTTATGCAATTCAATGAAAGTTTTTATATTATTATACTGCTTCATTTATATTTATCATTGGAATACAACAAATGTTGAGATGGCCCAATAATATAAAATCTGGTCAATAAGTGTTCTTATGATGTGTATTCAAATTTTAAAATACCATGATTTTCATAAAAATTAATAGATGCATTTTGCTGAAAATTTCTCCTGTGACTTAGTAGATTGAAATGATGAGACTTGCTTTTTAACTTTTTAGCCCCAAATTACTTCAAGAATTAGCAGATTCAAAGGATGAAATTCACCGTTTCTTAAGTTCTGACTATGGTGAGTATTGAGGTTTGGAATTTTCTGAATTTATTTACGACAAATTATTAAAGATGTTATTATATACAATCATACTCTGTGAATTTATTAATGTTAATTTTGTAGTTATCATTTACTTAATATAATAAATGTGCTTTTTTACTAGCTTTAAAGTTATTACTTGCAAATATCCACATTCCATTTAATGTGTGTTACAGGAATTTTATATAACTCTGTTTGCTGACTTGGTTATTTACTTCTTAAGTTATATGGTAAACCCTTGCTGAATGTGTGAGTTGTATCATTAACACATTGGGCGTATGGCAAAGTCATTTCTGCAAAGTTAACTTCCTATGGAAAATGTGTTGGATATAGTTCAGAATAGGAAAGTATGTAAAATTTAAACAAACATAAATATTATAATTAAAATGAAAAGATGAAATGAATGCTAATTGAAAAGATTTTTATTACTGTTTAATAAGTACATGATACAATTATTAAAAAAAACTGTGATATTTTGCTTGGGACAATGACTGATGCAACTGTTGAAAAGTTTAATGGTTAGGAGATATTTAAGCCATTAATCCTTTATTGGGACAATATAATGAGGGTCAGCTTTACACTCTGAATGATGCACAACACATCTTAGCTACACTAAAACATTAACATATCAGTGATCATTTCGATCTATAGTCTAGAGTTTGCGATATTACCATGTTCTTATGGTCAATTATCTGTCTGTCCTGGATAATTGCTCTTTCTCATAGCTGATATTAAACATTTCATAAGATATTTAAATTAAAACAGGATCAAATTAAAATGGGAAAGTGTTCAATTAAGGGATTTAAGAACAGTACTCTTTGCATTGATAGTATTCCTATTGATATAATTCAAGCAGCTTAAAATAGAAGTGTCCAACTTTTGTACAGGGAACAGCATAAGGTAATCTGTTGACTGACTATAAATGTCGGAGTATAACTAACTTCTTAACAATGAGTCCTGACCTGTACAATGCTTTTTTTTTTTTTTTTTTTTTCATTTGTAGTTTTCTGTATTGTGAAGAAATATCACATTCTATAGTAGACTTCAGCTTTTCTCAGTGAGATTGACTAAAATTTTTAATAGTTTATATATTTTACATTTTTTAAATTTTCATAATTTTGCCTCAAGCTGTTATTTTAGATTAATACTATGCAGTTATATGGGCTATATGTTTTTTATGTATATTTTTCATAAGCTTCTTTTATTTCAGCAAAGAACATGAACATTGAAAAAGTGAGCTTTGATGAGTCAAAATTCCGTTGGGAACTTAATGATGACCCCATGGCTTGTGATAAATTAGCTGATGGAATCAGGAAATTTGCTGCAGATGCTGTTAAATTAGAAAATTTAATGAAAACCAGAATCTAAGATTCTTTTAAAAGCGATATTCATTTTCCAGACATCTTTATTTTCCATTTTTAAAAATTCACGCTGTATGTTTTTTTACATATGTTCCTAAAATATATTTTTGCATTTTGGTACTTATATTGTTTGATATTGTTTTGAATAAATTTGTACTTATTGCTTGTTGTATTAGATTTTACTGCCTGCATTCATTATATTTTTGTTTTTATCATTTAATCACCTGAGTGCCAGTTTTTTTTATCTGGTCATGAAAAGCTATATTTAAACAGAAAATTTTAACTAGAATTTTTATAATTCCATAGTTTGCCCTTTGTTTTCATTCTATTCCTTTCATGGATTATATTTAGACTATTAAAGAAAATAAAGGTAACAAAAATTTTGCATAATAAGTAGAGGTATATTAAGTTTACATATATAAATTTTTGGTCAGTTTTTAGAACCAAGTTTATGTTTACTGCTTAATATTTTAATTTATGTACTAGCTGTATCCCTTGCTAGTAATGCAGAAATTCTTCAGTAATTGTTATGTTTAGTCTGTTCTGCCTGTCTTTATTTTACATTACTGTTAGCTGAGCTGCTTTCTTGATTAATTCTATCTTCTTTGAGAAAGGCTCACCAGGTTTTGTTGCATAAGTAGAAAGGAAAAAGGAATTTTTAGGATTAAATAATGTATATGATGAATGTTACAGAATGATTGTTGCTTCTTTTATTATGGAATATTTCATATGAAAAATGAAACAATGTATATTCCAGGTAACATGAATAATTATTTGAGTGTTCACTTAAAAACAGAATGACATATCTAAAAAAATGTGAATATTTTTTAGATGTGAAGGAAAGAATAAGCTAATTTATATTTAATCATTTGCATTTAATATTTATGTGGTAAGATTTTTTTATGCTCTGAGAAATAAAATTTCTAAAATAATATTAAATTATTGCAAATAAGCAAAAAAAGTATTAAACTTCTATTTTAAACATCTTAAAAATTTTGTACTTATTAAAAATTATACAATATACTTTGCTTAAAACATCTCTTATATTATTTAAATTTGTTCATAAGGTAAAATAAATTTGGAATTAAGCCTAGTCTTAAAGGTTTCATATATTTCGATACAGGATTATGTATTTAAAAAATTTTGTGGTTGTAGGTGCAGCTGCTTTTTGATAGTTCAGCAGACTCCCATTACTCACTCTCAGATTCTGTTATTTTATAGTAATAGAGGCAACCATATTAAATACTGGTTTCCTGATAGAATTATTTTGACACTTTGAGGAAGTAACTTTGTAAGAAGATTGATATATTTGTTTTCCTAGTAACGGCTAAAAGAAATTGATTTTATATATATTTTAGGGAAGAACATCAAATAAAATATGCTTGGGATAAAATGTATGAATTGTAATAAAAACATACTTTACATAAAATATATATGTAAAACCGTTTATGAATTTATAAAAATGGCGCCAGATTTATATGGAATCTTTGTAACTATAGGCATTTTTTTAAATATATATGTATATTTCTGATAGCAACCTTTTTGAATAAAAGGAATAATTGTGTGAAAACATTTAGTATTTGGGGTTAGAGGCCTATTTAAGTATAAAAGTGAACTTTTTATATGGTTCTTTTAGATAAAAAAAAAATTAAATAAAAAAATTGCAAAATTTATTGGTGTATTTGAGAATGAATTTTCTGACTGAAGATAAGTCTTGAATGTTTTTGACTTTTGCATGAAAATGTAGCATTTACTGAAAAATCTACTGAATATTTTTAACCTAACATTCACTATGGGGAGCATACAAAAAGCTAAATTACACATTTAAAAAATCTTCCTAATTTCAATTCTGAAACCATTTAAAAACAGTCTGTAGCATATTTTGAGAAACTTGTAAATTAGAAGTGTAGGATTAATGTTATGGGACAGGCAGCTTCTAGCCATCTTTATGTATTTCTTTAGTCAATAGAAAATGCTGTTTTTAAGTGTATATATTATATATATAACTGTAAAGGTTATATTTAGCGCATCAATAATCAAGCATAAAAAGGTTTGATGATTATCATATCATACATTGCAAGCATTCAGAGAATCTCGAACCTGCATGTCTGGCTTTTGCATGACCAATTCTAGATTTTAAATTACGACAAAGAACTGGAAGGATACTGCATGTAGAGAGAAATAAATACCTTGAAGAAGAAATATACATGCCTGTTAACATTAAAATGTTAAATTATACATGTCTTAACATAAAATGTTAAAAATGTACATGCCTGTTAACCCTAAAATGTTTAATTCGCAGGGTTTCATACAGGTGTCCAAATCCCCATAAACTAGAACTGCAGTTGCTGGATATAGAATCTAGTGCAATTATTTTGTGCCTTAACATGTTCCCTGCCGCGTGGGGCGTATACGCCACATGCTAAACTTTCCGTTCAAGCCATTTGGTATTATCATTTTAAAATGAAGAATTTTTTTAAAAATTCATTATGCAGTCAAATTATGGGCATCTTAATACTACTGCTGATGCCCTCATTTAATCGCGGGGCGTGTGATGGGCAATTTTTTTCCTCCGTAACTTGTTTCAACTGCATTCCTCGTATTTCAATCAGTCATTTATTCGCGTGTCGTTGATACACTACTTACTGCTTCTCTGAAGCTGGGATTGATTTATAGTTCAGTGTGTTAGACAAAGGAAATACGGTACGTACATAGTATTTCAGCGTTATAAATTAGGATATTTTACATTTAAAAATGGTTGTAATTTTTTCCGCCTTTTCTTCTTCCGACTTTTTCCAAATTTTACAATAATTACTCCTTATAAGCAGATATGGCATCACACAGCCACAGTTTTTCTAGTGATAATTCTGACAACGAGGAAGGCTACTTTAATTCGATAAGAAGGCGCTGTAAAATTTGTTACGAAAGAAATGTTAAAAATTTGGGTTCTCAATTGGCAAGAAACTGTACTGTAAAAGTTGTGACATTCTGCGATAGTTGTGTGGATAAACCACACTTATGTTTGCCATGTTTTAATAAAGTTCATCGTAACATCCCTTTGTAATTGCATACAAACTTGAATTTAACTAAACTGTTATATTTAAAACTGATATACGTACGATAAAAAAAATTATATGTGAGGATGCAACTTGCTTGGCATAGTAATGTTCAGAAAGGTATTTGTTAAACTAATTCCTAGAAAAATAAATTTATTGGTTTGTTGTGTTATGCATGTTAAACTATACAACCTTTCCTTAATAATTATGATTTTTATGCTATTTTAATTATTGCAAGGCATACGCCAGAAACAAAATAATACAAATGTAAAGTGTGGGGCGCATACGCCCCACGCGGCCTGAACGGGAAGTCTTCAAAAAATGGTCTGCCAGGGAACGTGTTAACAGTTTTGCTACCAGTGGTTTGACATTGATAGCAAAACCATTCTTTCAACATGGTTTCGTTTATTATTACCAGTGTTTCACAATATTACCGTTGTTCATTGGTAGCTGGATCCGAGGGTTAAATACCCCGGCTATCTTCAAGGGCATTTTCATAGTTTTTCCCCATTTATAATGAGAATACAACCAGTTTCTTTAGAAAGGTCTTCCATGACGCTTCCTTTCCATGGATAGATAGCTAGCTCTAGTGAACATGAATACGATTAGACTGTGATAAGAACTTGGCCAGAATAGAATCAGATAAGGCCAATTGAAGAATTTATTCAGGTGCCCCAATACTTGCTTTTCTTGTCTTCGAGAGAGAAAAGCAGCTATTAGGCCATACAAAATGATTCTAGGGATCTTTAAAACCGATAGAGCTTTAAACCTGGCCTTGTGTCCTTAAGCGGCTTTTAAACCCTGGTTTTGCCATAACAAAATAGTCGAATCTAATAATTTGTGGCTATGACTCATGTGTCTGCATGGAATCTGCTCGGCATTAAGTGGATTTCACAACTTAAAAAAGCTGTATTTGTTGTCTTCCAGATATGGTAATTTAAGCTATTCACTATCCTAGCACAGTTACAAATTGAATTTCACCGAGTTTTTTTGAATCAGTTAGTTAATTATTGTTACTTGATATTGCATTACCATGCAGGAAAATATAAAAATTTTATACTGTTTTCGTGGCATGTTCCGTTTTTTTTTATCTAATGCATTTAACTCGCACACGATTATTCACTATTGAACTCATTTGTATGGAAGATTGATAAATGTAATTTCTGGAGTGGCCATTAAATAATTACGAGGTAATTATTCTCATTTCGTAATTATAATTAATTTTGATTTGTTACAAGTTAAAAAAATTAGAAATGATCAGAAATACTCCAAAATATTATTAAAATGAACAAAACAATATTTTAGTTTTTCGCTGAAATTAATTACTTTGAAAACGAGTTCCAGCCAAGAAATAACGATGAATAAAATTCGAAAATATTCCTTTTTATTATAAATAGTTCCGATTACGAACATTGCCAAGGAAATAGTTAAATGCAGTATTTACAAGAAAAAAATGAAGGTGGCGTATTTTAATGAACTCATTTAATTTATTGGAAGTAATAGCTGCCATATTACATTTTCCCAAGTAATATTATAGTAGTAACATTCTATTCCTGCATTATTGTGTTTAAGCTTTTAAGATAGCTATTTTTAAACTGTGGCAAAACTGTTTATTAGCATCTGTCGCATTAGTCTAAAGCTATTAATTTATGGAACTGGCCTAGTAGTCAGTGTGCATGAATGTAATGTAGCCTTCAAATGTGCATAAAAAATTCAAGTCGAAATAGGTAGTGTGATGGCATGTTAAGACTTCATGCATTTTTTGAAAACTATGAAAGTTCAAGGCTATTGAAAAAAGTATGCTTTCCATGTAGCCTATTCTCATCTTTTTTTATGTACTTTAAATAATGCCTATGTTATATGGACAAGGAAGATCTGCCAACCTTGAAAGGAATGTGTAAGAATCTGCTGACTGAGAAATACACAGAGATAAAAAACTAATGGACAAAATGCTGTGGATAAGGAAATAAAAATATTTATATAAAGATATTTGGTGTTACAGTTATATTTGGCAGTATTTCTGAATTTCAATAATGCTTTTATCTAAATCCCTAGATGATCAACTTTACACAATAATTATAACACAACAAAGTAACAGAACCTTAATTTGAACGCATGCTGC